GGGGAACACTTTGCTTCAAGGCTTGTTCAAGGGGTTGTTGTTGTTGATGATGTTGTTGTTTCCTTTCTTTACCACCAGTAGCCAAAGCTCTTGGAGAAGTTTTCAACCAAATATAAAAACCATAAAATATAATGGGTAAACAGAACATTAACAAGAATTAAATATTAATTTAAAACAGCATAAAAGACTATAAGGAGACAATAAAGAAAGGCATCTGGATAATCGTGTCAGGTCTCTGAAGGACCAGGAAGGTCTTTTAGGCCAAAGAAGGCCATCTTAACCTGGCAAATTTGGCACCAGATGGGTCCAGCAGGGACATTGTTCTATAGATTGGGGGCCACCATGGAAAAGGCTCTTCCCATGGTTGCCACCCTCTGAGCCGTTCGAGGGCTTGGCACTCAGAGGAATGCCCCAGAGGTTGAGTATAGTGTCCAGGTAGATTGGGGTTGCAGGTCATCAGCAGGGCTTTTTTTGTCATAGAACGCACTGGAACACCGGCACCTTTTTTTCCAATGGATTTTACAAAGTGCTTTTGAATCAGCAGCAAACATCATTAACATAGTGCCTGTGTCTGCTATCTGATAGTGAGAGAGTGCGGGCGCTGCTGCTGCTGCTGCTGCTGCTGCTGGGCTTGGGCTTGGAGCGTGTGGTCATGCAGCGCGCTGAGTGCTTACTGCCAGCAGGGATGGGTTCCAGCACCTTTTTTTTTTACAAAAAAAGTGCTGGTCTTCAGCATGCTGTGGGCAATGCGCTCCATGTAGATGTTGAAAAGCTTGGGGGATGTTGAATGGCCTTCTTCTGAAGCCCTCCAAATGAGTGGCCATTACCACTTTCCATGGCAACAAATTCTGTAGTGTATATGTTGTTCGAAGTACATTTATCTGTACTTTGTCCTTCTCCATACTATGCCTATTTTAAACACCTCTCTCACGTCTCCCCCTCTTCACCCTTTTTCTAAGCTGAACCGTCCCAGGTGTTGTATCTGTTCCACACAAGGAGCTGCTCCAGCCCCTTGATCATTCTCATTGCCCTCCTCTGTGGACTTTCCTTCTCTAACACCAGGAGAAGCTTCCCCGCTGTCAGAGCAATACAAGAGTGGAGCCAGGTGGGGAGGTGGGGGGCTCTCCCACACTGGAGATGTTCAAGAAGCAACTGCGCAGCCCTCGGAGTGGGCTGGTGTGACTTGGTGTCCTGCAACAGCAGGGGCTGGACTCGATGGCCTTCATGGCCCTTCCAACTCTGCTATTCTATGATTCTATGGAGTTTCCGTCATCCAATGCACCCTCCTTCCTCCCCCGTAGCCCAGCACGATTGCCCCTGGCCTCAGCTCTTTTGATGTATCAATGCCCAGGATATGTATATGCATTTACATCCTCTGAAGCCCATCGGCCTGGTCTGAAGCCTTCTCCCTCACTCACCTTCTTATGACCCTGTTTCAGACACAAGGAGTGCTTTGGCTGCCCATTATTCCCCATTCATTCTGGTCTTGTCTTGCTGATGGGGGAACCTCCATCCGCTCCTCCATACCAGTCCCCACTTTGTACTTCTCCGTCAACTTCATATTCCTTCTCTTCCACCATCCACATTCCACCTTCTCTTATCCTTCTCCCATTCCTTTGTCCTGTCATCCTTATGAGTGAGTGTGAAGGCCAGTCTTCCTTCTTTCCTTCTCCCTTGCTGGAAAATCGTCCCCACTGGAATGCACACCGTGATCCTTCTGCAAACATGGACACATCATCCGAACCCTGAACTAAACCCTCTCAGACAGAAAGACTCGTTAGTAGAAAAGTATATCTTTATTTCAGGAACATAAGAGTGGGGTAGTTTCTATAAAATATTTATTTATATCAATAAATATATTCAGGGGAGTAAATTTCACTGAATGCAGAAGGGATTTTTTTTGTTCAGTTGCAAAGTTGTGTCCGACCCTTTGTGACTCCATGGACAACACTCCTCCAGGCCTTCCTGTCCTCCACCACCCCCAGAGTCCACCTAAGCTCACACCAACTGCCTCAGTGACTCCATCTAGCCCCCTCATCCTCTGCCGTCCCCGTCTTCTTTTGCCCTCAATTGTTCCCAGCATTAGGCTCTTCTCCAGGGAGTCCTTCCTTCTCATTAGGTGGCCAAAGTATCTGAGTTTCATCTTCAGGATCTGGCCTTCTAAAGAGCAGTCAGGGCTGATCTCCTCTAGGACTGACTGGTTTGATTGCCTTGCGGTCCAAGGGACTCGCAGAGTCTCCTCCAGCACCACAATTCAAAGGCCTCTATCCTTTGGCGCTCAGCCTTCCTTATGGTCCAGCTTTCACAGCCATACATTGCAACTGGGAAAACCATAGCTTTGACTATACGAACTTTTGTTGGCAGGGTGATGTCTCTGCTTTTTAGTATGCTGGCAGAAGGGATTACTTCTGGATAAATACATCTAAGACTGTGTTATGATTAATCCACTTTTCTGAACGATGAAAATTTCCAAGGGTGCAGTTGTCATCATGATTTAATTGCTTGTGGATGGGTTGCATCACCATCTAATATTTGAGTGTATTTAGAAATAGATGGAGAGCATAGGTGGAGCAACAGCTGAATGGCCACAGCAATGGAACCAATTGCCTAAAGAGGTGGCAGACTCTCCCACACTGGAGGCATCCAAGAGGCCATTGGACAGCCATCTCTAAGGGAAGCTTATGAGTCCTGCATTGAGCAGGAGTTGAAACCAATGACCTTGTAGGCCCCTTCCAACTCTGCTCTTCTATGATTCTGTGAAATGCCTCCAAGTCAACCTAATTTATTGCTTCTTCTGGAAGAGACAGGCAATAACTCTGCATTTTATTTGCTTGTGGAAACAAAACTTGTTCTGCCTCTGCATGTCTCAGTCCATGTCATGCAGCTGCCTATGGCACAGTGTTCCTGGCCCTCTCACCCCCTGGCCATTGCTGAGGGGTGGAGGGCAAGGAAGGGGAATCGTAGTCTCTCTCCTAACTTCCTTGGGTTATCATTTGTTTTTCGGCGCCAGGCGAAGACCTTTTTATTTAAGCGGCATTTGAATTGTTAAAATTATTGAATTTTATCTGGCCAGGGTGGCTTATTTTATAATGTATTTTTGTATTTTTAATTTAATGTTTATATTTTTAAGATTATAATTATTTTAATTTATTGTTGTAAGCCGCCCCGAGGCTTCGGCGAATGGGGCGGCATAAAAATGTTTTAATAAATAAATAAATAAATAAATAAATAAATAAATAAATTTGTTGTTTCCGTAATGAAGAATTTGCACAGCACCTTTGCTTATTCTTCTGGGCCCGTTTGTTTTCTTCTCCTCGGCTCAAGTTCATCTATTAACTTGAAATAAGATGCTTGACTTGAATTTAAGAGTTCCTTTTTCTTTTGTTTTAAATCCACATCATAGCTGGCAAAACAGTATGGAGCCGTTTTCACAATTTGGGCAGGGAACCTACCTCTGATAGTCCTGTCTGGAAATGAAGCATTGAAAGGACTAGTTACCCATTCGGAAGAATTTGCTGACCGACCCCCCAGCCCTTTTGTGCGGGCGTTGACAAAAGGCTACGGTAAGTTGGGGCACAGAATGAGGGATTTTACTGGCCCCTTCCCAGTTAAATACTGGAGGGATGCCCAGCGAGAGAGAGTTGAAGGAAGTCACTTACAGTGTTTGCTGGGTTTTCTCCAGGAAATGCACTCTGCCTATTTCACTCTGTTTGCCATTAAGCATCGAGAAGTCCACCTAATCTGAGACGCTGGATCATAAATAAGCAATAGAAGGGGCATGAATCAAAATAGCTTGCAGACACGATGCTCCATCTGCTACAAAGCAATTGCTGGTCTCTCTTGCAAACCGAGACAGTCTCTGATACCTCCGGGTGCCTCTCTATGAAACAGCAGGATTTTGTGTACACTGCTTTTTCCTAGAGATGCTTATTCTTCTACTTACTTTTAATTACCTAACTGTGCTGGATTATTTTAAGTCCCATGAAATAGTCTGAATATGTTCTTTCCATAGTGATCTGGGTTTAGAAGCAATAAAAATGGGGAGAAAACCCTCCCAAACAGAGACCACAAGGTAATTTACAAACAAATAGACAAACACAAATAAAATGCAAATAAAAGGGTGGCTGCTCTGTGGTAGAATACAGATCTGCTGTGCACGCAGAATCCAGGCAACCAAGAAATTCCTTGTGGAATTCCACTGCCAGTCAATGTCTGCAGTACTGGGATAGATGGATCCACAGACTGATTCAGTACGAGGCCACTTCCCATGTCCCTCCCTATGGGAGAATAAAAACAATTCAAACAACTGTGTGTTGAAAATAAGTGTGTGAACTTCTTGATCCAAGCAGGAGGGCAATAGGTACCCTCCGCAGAACTCACATGTGCCTGACAGGTGCCACTCATGTTTATCAGTTGTAGTGCCAGACCAATAAAAACAAGCCACTGATCTATGACTGGAGCATGCACAGACTTCCTTGCTTCAAATGGGTCACCACTCTGTTGCTTCAGAAAATGACCTGCTTCTGCTTTGGCCCATTAAGGATTGTGATTTGTGCAGTATGGGCTCACAGAGTTCATGCAAACGGCAATATCTTCAGAGATAACATGCAAATAAATTCACCAGTTTTTCAGCCTTCATTCTGACTGAGTGAGGGTTTTTAAAATTACTTAAACTGCTCTTTCTTCTCCATACTTTCATGGAGCTTCCTGAAAAGTTCAGGCTATGCATAATCATCTGTTATTCCTGGATGAGTTAAATTTCAGGAAAAATATGAAATTGTTCTGTTTTTCTAAAGATTAGAGTGATAAATCCCAAAGTATCCTCTATGACAGGGTAAAAGCTGCAGAGAGGATGCAGCAGAATGTTGAACCAGGCGAATGTTTAAGCATGACTTTTTGACAGTGATGTTTTTCTCATTAATACCTGGGGGACTCATGTAGGTATTGTAAGTATAAACGGACCTAACTGGAAGAAACAGAGGCGGTTTGCTGTAGTGACGATGTGGAAACTGGGGATGGGGAGAAAGATCATGGAGCGCCAGGTGGAAGAGGAGGCCCACCAACTTGTGAAGATCTTTGCAAGTACCAAAGGTAAGCCATGCTAAGTGATGACGCTGGCCCACAGAGTCTGTTCAAAAATCTTTCTGAGCATTAGGAAGAGTCATCGATCCTCACTTCTCTTCTGACTTACAGAGAATTAAAAGTTAGTTCATTTCAACACTTTCCTTGCTCCATCCGAGCCTCCACTTTAGCAGATAGTGCTGGTCCCTGGGAGAAGTGTGCCGCAGTGAACCTGTGGGTGTCTCCCCTCTAGTTTTAAAATTGTGCATGTGTGGACAGAGTGCATGACTGGAATCAAGCTTTCCTCTCCTCAGTGCCAGGAAACTGCTCCAGCACCTGCTATTTCTGGGAGAGAGCGTGATGCTAATGGGCAGCTTTAAACAAACCCCATAAATAATAAATATTTCTGGATGGAACAACAACAACAACAACAAAACACAAAGAGGAGCGTGAGAGCCAGTGTGGTGTAGTGGTTAAAAGCATGGGACTGGGACTCAGACGATCTGGGTTCAAGTCACCGCTCAGCCATGGAGCCAACTGGGTGACTTTGGGCCAGTCACAGACTCTCAACCCAGCCTACCTCACAGGGTTGTTGTTGTGGGGATAAGATGGAGGAGGAGATGTAAGCTGCCTTGAGCCCTTTGTAGGAAAAAGGCAGGATATAAATCGAAAAATAAATAAAATAAAAATTAAAAAAAAGAGGAGAGGTCCATCATTTGAGGCGGCTAATAGAAGTTGCTTCAAGAACGCTTTGAGGGGGCAGAAATGAGTGGGGTGGGGACACACGGGCAAATAATTTCCAGGTAGGTTGTCTTAATAAAACTAGGATGGTGGCTGGTTTGTAGGGTAAGCCATGTGGGGAGAGACTGAGGGAGTTGTGTCTTCTCAGCCTTGAGAGGAGGAGACTCGGAGGGGACCTGTTAGCCACATGCAGGTATGGTGGGGGGGGGGGGTGTCACGCAGAGGTGAGTTGGAACCTTTTTTCCCCTGTGGTGGGGGGCAGGACCTGTTCCAGTGGAGCAAAGCTCAGGGAACCAAGATTCTAGGTGGATTACAGGAATTACTTCCTGACGGTTAGGACCCTGAAGGCATGGAATGGGCTTCCATGGGAGGTGGTGGAGGCCCCATGAGTGAAGGTGTATAAGGATAGGCTGGACATGCACACGGTGGGCGTGTCATGAGCAGAGCTGGCTGGAGCCGGGGGTCAGACTAGATGGCCTGGGATACCTCTTCTGACTCGCCCTGTTTCTGTTTCTGCTGGTGCAGATCATTGTTTGCTGTTTAGACATGACGCTGAGAACCGGAGATTGCTGCTGACTCCGTGCACGCTTGCACAGCTTTATACACGTGCATCTTGATGTATAAATGGGATGTTAGTGCAAATGAAGGTGTCTGTAAGTGAATGGGGAGTTTGTGTGAGTTTCTGTGTGTGTGAATCATGGGTACCTGTGAGTGTGTCTCTCGGAAGCTGGTATTTGTTTGAGTGTGTCTCTCTGTCCTTGTGTGTCTGCATGCTTGAGCCTGGGAGTTTTGCAGTTGGTTCCTGCTGTCTCCCCAAGTGATAGAGTAATAATCAGTTTTCAGTACAAAGGGGATGTACGTGGATGTGCATTTCCCGCACATGCTTTCCCTTGAGCAATCCTGTCCTCCGTGCTTCAGTCATCTTCATAGGCTGGATTTTGCCCTGGGCTGGTAGTCATGGTGTGTGGCTTCTTGCTTCCATGATTTCAAAGTCACTCGATTCTCTGTGCACGGAATCCTTTCGAAATTTGTCTTGCTGCAGCAGGGCCAGGAGGTTGCTTTGCTGCTGCTGACTCCTTGGCGACCCACCCTCTGCCCACCAACCAGACAGGCCATTGGGCACCTGTGTTAAAGGGAGGGACAGAATACTATTGACTGTAAACAAACTCATTTGCAGGGCAACCCTTTGATCCTTTACCAGCCATCACTAACTCAGTTTGCAATATGGTGTGTGCTGTGAACTTTGGATACCGATTTTCTCTTGAAGATGAAAACTTCCAGATACTGATCAAAACCATTGATTTTGGCACGAACTTTGGAAGCACTTACGTTTTTTTGGTGAGTAACCTTTTTATGGCAGGATGGTTATCCATGGAAAGGAATCTGCTGGGGTCCAAAGCAGCAATCAGGTGAACCCAGAACCAAAAGCAGGCACTGCTTTTTCAGAGCTTTTCAGCTCCTCCCCTTTCTTGCAAGTTGTGTTTCCTGTGTTTGAGTGTTTGTGTATGTGTGGACAAATGTAACATCCAGAACTAATGTGGTTCCATGGAGTAGGAAAGGTCAAATATGAATGAGTGTGGCCATGTCTGGATTTTCTGCTTGAAGGTGCAGAGCTGGATGGTGCTTCCAAGTAGCTGAAAAGCAGTTGTAGAGCAACTTTGGAAAGAGTCCCCACAAATTGTGTAGGTACTGCCCCAGTCCTTCAGGTGCAGACATCCTTACTGAACAATGGGGACCGTGCAACTATGATACTGAGAAGAGCTTGGTTCTGTCTGCTCCCTAGCTCTATGAATTGTTTCCATGGATCATGAAACATCTCCCGGGGCCCCACAACAAGCTCTTGTCCCTCATGGAGGCGGTGATGTCATTTATAAGGCAAGAGATAAAGAGACATAAGACGCACCAGAACTTGCATGAACCGAGCGATTTCATCGATTTCTACCTGCTTCAGATGGAGAAAGTAAGTACCAGCAGCTGCACCAGTCCTTTTGCTGCCTGAATGAGAGGCCAAGCAGCAGCTCATCCACACCGGGACCATCCCAAGTGTCTTGGGAGACTCTCGGGACTCCCAGGGTCTGGGGTGCTGTGCTGGCCAGAAGCAGAACCACCGCTGCCGTATTTGCAGGATTGGCCCCAAGCCCTCAGGTTTCCCATTGAGCACCAGCAGGGAAACTAGAAGAGGAGCCATGCAGAGGCAGCCTCCTCCCTCCAGAGGTCTCCCTCACTGCTGTGGTGCCTGGTCCAGATCCTGCCTCGCCATTTGCACCTTCCTTGCCGTGTGCGGCCCCGCGGTGCCTCCCACCTTGCCTTGCCAGGCGCCTCAGCAACGCAGGTCTTCCAGCCGGCTGTGCTCAAGCTCCTGCATCTTGCCTGATCTTTCTGTGTATCCTGCCCAGTTATCCCGTCTCCTCTGTTTGTCTTCCTGGGTCTCAACCCTTGGCTTGGTCAGGACCACATCCTTGTCCTGGCCCAATGCATCTTTCTGGTTCGGACCCTCGCCTGCTCTGTGGTTATGCCCTGGATTTGCTACTGAACCTTGTTTTTGTGCTCTGGGCTGGGCTTGTCTCAAGTCCTGCTGCCCTCGTCCCAGTGCCTCTGCCTTGTCTCCTGCTGCCCGCGCCCCAGCCCCTGACCGAGACACACCTTCCTGCCTTCTTCCACCATCTGCCCCTTCATGGTGCCCCCTGAGGCAAGGCAGGGTCAGCTGTGAATGGAAGCAGTTCCTAGGCAGGCATTGCTCATCCAAGGTCGGTTTAGTTTCCAGGTTGCAGTTGCACAGGGGCACCTGTAGCTAAAGACGGGCAAGGAATCTATTGTGTTCAAAAAATCCACTGGATTCTTTGGTTTCAGCTTCCTGGGCTTTGGTCCGCTCGGCAGCAGCCCAGAGTCTGAGTTTCTGGAGAGCGTGCCCAGATCCTCAGGGTGCTCGCTGGGAACAAAAGCCCAAGCGCTGTGCAAGCCGCATCCTTTTTCAGTAGTTGCTGTTGCTGCCACCGGCAGCGAATGGGGTGAAACTGTTGGCCACTGAGAATGGTGGCTGGTGTGCCTGCTTGCTGCTCTGCTTTCGCTTTTCCTTTTCCGTGAGCATTCAGGGCCTTCTTCTTGGCCTGCTTTGCAGAACCAGCTGAGCATGAGATGAAGCCTGTGGATTCTGGAGGGGCGAATTCTGAAAGGGTTCGTCCCAACCCTACCTGTAGCCCACCAAGAGGATTTTATGGGCCTTGGAAAAATTTTCACTCACTTCATCAGCATACCATTTCTTTCATACTGGAGTCAGTGGCTAAATTGGGATACGGGTCATTATGCCTTGAAATGGCTGGAGAGGAAGTGTTCTCTTCGTTTCTCTAATGGTTACACAAAGCAGTAGCTAATCATAGTGCAGGGAAAGGAATTTGTGTTAAACTGCCAATAGATTCCCCTTCTGTACTGAAAACTGCCACTCCTTTAACTAAGTAATTCTGTCATGCCACAAATTTATGTTGCCATTATTATTGTCATCAATAATAATGGCAACATAAATTTCTCCAGATGGTTTCCATCAATCTATAACCTACTGGTTACAAATATGAGAAATACCTCATAAATACAAATACTGCGAAGTACTGTGTAAGATTTCCAGACACAAAAATTAGAACAGTATCAGCAGCAGCAACACATTTTTAATACACACAAAGAGGACCCGTGGAAAGCAGGTAACATATGCTACTAAACAGCTGGAAGCAGAGGGCCATCTGAATTGGCACTGAAAAGATGTCAGAATTGGTGCCAGGTGTGGAGATCATTCCAAACCCCATGTTTGGCTCACTCTAAGCCCCCCTTGGAGGTGGCTTTGAAGGAAGACTTTAGCTGTAGACTGTAGTGTCCAGGTAGATTCAGGATGGAAAAGGTGCTCCATCAGATAGGAAGGTGGTCCCAGGGCATGTCCTCGATTTTACATGGCATTTGCCTGAGTAGAAGAGGACTGGTCACTGCTCTGAAGTGCTAAACCCAGTAAATTACTCAAATCTTTTATCTTCTTCCCTTCAGCAGGTTCCCAGGGCATCTGAGATAAAGTAGAATTTCTTTTAATTTGTCTTAATGTACACGATTTTAGGGACTGCAGGTGGCGCAGTGGTTTAAACTGCTGCGCTGCTGGGCTGGTTGATCGAAAGGTCGCCAGTTCGAATCTGCACAGCGGGGTGAGTTCCTGTTGCTCCGTCCCAGCTCCTGCCAACCTTGCAGTTCGAAAGCCTGCAAATGCAAGTAGATGAAAAGGTACCACTTTGGTGGGCAGGTAACAGCGTTCCGTGCACTTCGGTGTTTAGTCATGCTGGCCACATGACCACGGAGACTGTCTGTGGACAAACGCTGGCTCCCTCGACCAGGAAACGGAGATGAGCATCACCCCTGAGAGTCAGGCATGGCTGGACATAAGGTCAAGGGGAAACCTTTCCACGATTTTGCAAGGGTGCTACAGGGACCATTCTAATGCTAGTTTGATTACTAATGTAATTCCTGACTGCATGTTCATGCGTGGGGAAAATGATTTGGCGCTACCATGGAAGATGATTCAAAACTTCTTTGAGTGTGGCTTGTGATTTCTACCCATTGTCTCTTCTCAATAGCAGTGTGGGAAAGACTCCAGCACAACCTCCTTCGATGAAGAAAACCTGGCTGTATCTATTGCAGAATTTTTTATTGCGGGAACAGAGACCATGAGTATCACTTTGCAATGGGGGCTGCTCCTTATGGTGGCTTATCCGGAAATCCAAGGTGAGAGAGACAGCTGTGATGTAATCCAGAGCCCCTCTCCTTCCTGTAAAGACTAATTCAAATTCGCATGTAGTTTTGGAGTGCCTTGTGATCCTTCCAAGACTTCATACTAGGTGAATAGGAATATTTGTTGATTTGTAGCAGGTAGCTGAAATTACATGTTCTCAGACATCATCATAACTCCCTAATCACGCATCTGAAAAGCTTCAGGGAGTCAGTGGGACTTATTAAAAAGTACAGGAATATATGGCAGATGGTTTTTGAAAGACTAGAAATAGCCCAGTAAAATGAGGCATTTTATATGTAACTTCCCCTGAAGTTTTTCAGATGTCACTTATAGTGTGCTGGAAGCATTAAGCTCCTTGTCCAAAACAACACAATATGTACCCTTTAGTGGCCTAATGCATAGCAATCCTTCTCAGGCATAAAAAAAATGATATCATAAAGGAGGCGAACTATTTGAACAGAACAGGACAAGAACAGTGTTAAGGGTATTACACCCCAGCCGTGCACCTTCGAACAAAGCATTCTTTTTAGAAACGAAAGTAGCAAGCAGGTGTATGTGCACGAACTGATATAATATCTCTGCATACCCACGTATTTACCCCCACAGTTACTAGAAATGAAGTATGTATGTGGTGAGCTAGTGCGGTGTACAGGTTATTTTTTTATTATTATTTCAATTTATATCCTGCCTTTTTCCTACAAAGGGCTCAAGGCAGCTTACATCATTCTCCTCCTCCATCTTATCCCCACAACAACAACCCTGTGAGGTAGGTTGGGCTGAGAGTCTGTGACTGGCCCAGAGTCACCCAGTGGGCTCCATGGCTGAGCGGGGACTCGAACCCAGATCGCCTGAGTCCCAGTCCCATGCTCTTAACCACCACACCACACTGGCTCTGGTTAGTGCTGGGCTGGGTTTCAGGAGCTCCAGACTAATCCCCACTCGGCTCACTACGTGACACTGGGCTGTCACTGACTCTCAGCCTAGCCTACCTCACAGGGTTGTTGTTGTGACGATGAAATGCGGAGGAGGAGGAGGATTATGTTAACCCCATGTGCTCACTGTGGGGAAAGGTAAGATGAAGCTGTAATGAAATAAACACCTTAATAATGCCCTTATGCAGTGATGATTGTTTTTAATTTAACAGGCTAATCAAGATTATTTAGGCTATCAGGCTTAATTTTCTCACGAAGATAGTTCAGTGCTCTGCCTTTTCCCCATCCTCCTTCTTGCAGCCCTGGGGAACCTGAGATGCTTCTGGGAGTTCTGTTCAAGGGAGCTCCTGTAATCTGCCCCTGCCCCACCCACCCAGCCCCCTGCCCCGAATCCGGCCCTACCTTGTTTGGGAGGGAAAGGCCAGGCTCAGAAACAGCAGCTGGCCACAGATGTGCCTCCCCTGGTACACCGTCCTCTTCACAGGCTGCTCAAACATTACCCCGTGTTGGTGGAATTCCTTCCATAGCATCTCCTTTGAGAACAGCTTCATTCCTGCCTTGACTGCAGGATGTACTTCTTGTCTGGAAAAATCCACATCCATAATTTAAATCAACATGCATTAAAAACACCTGTTTTAGGGGGAAAAGTATACAAAAAGCTGCAGTGTGTAAAAAAAAATCATTAAAGGAATGCGAATTTGCAAGCCTTTTAAAAATCCAGCTTGATGCAGAAATATTTAAAGGGCAGCTCCAAAGTCAACATGGGCTGGAAGCAGGGTTGTGCAAGGAATCTGTTTGGAAGGAGGAATCCACTGGATTCCCTGGACTCAGCTCCAGTCTGCCTTGCCGCTGGCCTGACTCTGACTTCCTGGCAGGAGTCAAGCCCCATGTGCCACACAAAGAGCTTCCCACTTCTGTTCCATGTGCAGCTGCTGGTTGACCTGCTGAACCTGGTGCAGAAGAATGTCGGTTGCACGGGGCTTGCCAGAAGTAGAGCCCAGCGCGGTCACTCGCAGCCTCCGTTTTCTGTGCCACCTGCTGCAGCCTTTGTGTTGCTGCACCTGAAGCGGAGGAAGGTTGCCAGTTGCTCCATCTTCATTCTGCAAGTGTTTGGGCTGAATGGGAGACGAAGCCTGTAAATACGAGAGGAACGAATTCCACCGGGGTTTATTTATCCCAACCCTGGCTGGACGCAGACCTTAATGATGATACAGAATCTCATCCTGTAAATGCATGGAACATGGAAGGGCACCTGATTTCTCAGGTCCAAGGCAGCCAGGTATCTAAACAGCAGCCAAATAGACACGTGTGGCTCTGATGCCTGCATGCCACAACTCTGGCAATCTGACCCAGAATTCTCTGAACTTGTGAGATGCTTGTATTCCAAGCAACTTCGTGGCAAAATGCTTAACATTTTGTCTTCAAAAATACACTTAGGAGGGTCAGTTGCTTTAGGCTTCAGCAGTATTTTCATGATATTTCAAGTCGGACAACAGTTTCCCAGCTGCAATCTCTAGGGCAAAGGGGTCATAGGTCAGGGACAAAATGATTCCTGATGACATCTGTCTCGGATGATCAAAGATGAGGGTATAAGGGGAAGACCTGAACTGGGTTGCACATCCACACGGTGGTCAGTGCCAGCCTTGCACCCTGTGCTGGAACTTCTGTGTGAGGTGAGTTCAGGGTAAACAAAGCGAAGAAATCGCAGCATGTTCAAGAGCAACTCCACAGACTTCCTACATGCAATGATCTGGATGCCCAAAGCTGCCCCTGCCCCATGTAGTGGGATCTCTGAATTCCATGGGTCCAGGCGCAAGGAAGCCTAAGGTTCCATATTGCCCAGCCGGGTCAGGGATGTGGGTGGCAGGGGGCTTAGCAAAGACGCTGGAGCCAGGCTGACAGGACCTGAGGCAGGCCTGACTCTGGTAGTTGGGACAGGGCAGAATCCTGGTCAAGAAGGGAGTTAAAGTCAGGGACTTGGAGTGCCTATTAAAGCCAGACGAGGTGGTCATCATGGCTGAGCCACAAAAGAGAATGGGGAGAGCAGTGACGATCAGGACAGGGCAGAGAACTGGTACCTGAGGCAAGGTAACCCAGGCAGGATTCAGGCCAGCAGAAGGTGCAGCAGAGCAAAGCAGGATGCGGCCAGGCAAAGGTGGGTACCAGATGAAGCAAGGGGCAGGTGTGATGCGGAGTTGGACCGTGCTACAGCTGGCAGGGAGGCCAGCTGCCACTGGGAAGGGCTTGCTCTTCTATGCCTCTTCCCCCAGGTCTCCCAGGTCATGCTCATCAGGTGGCAGAGAGCTCCTAGAGAGGTTGGGCCCAATCCTGCACTTACTAAGGTGTCCATCCTGGTTCTGACCACTTGATGGAGGCCCCGAGTCCCCAGATCCTGACGCCTGCCATGAAAAGCACAAAAAGCCTATGGAGTAAGCACAGTGCGTGCAAAGCACGGCTGACGTTTCACAGCAGCGTCTTTGCTAAGTCAGAAGAAATGTTGTTGTTCTGTTGTCACATGTTGCCAACTTGTCTCCAACTTACCACAATCCTGCAAAGGAGTGCTCTTCAGCATGTCCCGCGCTTGCTCACTCTGCTCAGAGACTCATGGAACAGTCGAGCTGGAAATGCCCCCTGTCCAACGCAGGTCTCCAAATTAAAGCATTCCTCTCAGGTGGCTATATGGCTGCCTCTTGCATGCCTCCAGTGTGGGAGAGCCCGCCACCTCCCCAGGTCATGGGCTCCATCGCTGTACCGCTTTAACAGGAAGTTTTTCCTGATATCTACCTGGAATCTGGATCCCTGTAACTTGAGCCCAGTGTTCTGTGTTCTGCACTCTGGGACGATCAAGCAAAGATCCTGACCTTCCTCTTTGTGACAGCCTTTCAAGGACTTGTGGAGTGCTGTCCGATCTCCCCTCAGTCTTCTCTTCTCCAGGCTAAACAGGCCTAGTTCTCCCAATCATTCTTCACAGGGCTTTGCTTCCAGTCCCCCAGTCATCCTCACTGCCTTCCTCTGAACCCTTTCCAATTCATCTGCATCTTTCTTGAAGTGTGGCACCCAGAACTGGCCACAATACTCAAAATGGGACCTAACTAGTGTCAAATAGAACGCGATCGGTTCCTCACATGATTTGGTACATATCTGGCTAACACAGACATGGCCAATAATTGAAAATACGCCTAAGGTTATTCTTTCCCACATTTTTATACGGGATGCTTGCTGATTGTTCAAAGCTATCCTGATGTTTTAGTGAATTTGTGTATTATGCTCACACTGTCATATTCATATTTGAATCATTTATTTATTTTTATTTTATTTATTAAAACATTTTTATGCCGCCCCATTCTCCTAAGCCTCAGGGCGGCTTACAACGATAGTTAAAAATAAATAACATTAAATTAAAAATGTAAATATTAAAATTAAAAATACAAAAATAACAATACAAAATAAGCCGCCCTGGCCAGATAAAATCCAATAATATTAACAATTAAAATGCCGCTTAAATAAAAAGGTCTTCGCCTGGCGCCGAAAAACAAATAATGACGGCGCCAGGCGGACCTCTCTGGGGAGCGCATTCCATAGATGGGGCGCCACCGCAGAGAAAGGCCTCCTCCGAGTACCCACCCTCCTAATTTCTTTCACGGAGGGTTCCCGGAGAAGGGCCTCTCCCGCTGATCTCAAGGGGCGGGCGGGCACATATGGATGTAAGCACTCCTTCAGGTAATTAATAGTGTAATCATGTGTTACACTATGCTCAAATATTTAGTTGACTGCACATAAGCACATATTTATGAATATCAGACCAACGCCGCATCAGGCCAACATTTATCTAGTGTGGTGTTCATTACATGCTGTTCATGTTCACAAATGAACTCTTCTCCAGCTACTCACCAGGAACCCGCAAGCAGGGGATGAGAGCAACAGCACCCCCTGATTTATGTTCTCCAGCCACGGGTATGCCTTAAGCACATGACCGCCAACGCTGCATCCATCTCCCCCTCCTCTTTTCTCTACTGCCCCATAGTGGAAGCTCTCTGGGCAATTTACAACAATCCATGCAAACAAAACAATAGAATACAATACAGATGCCACAAAATCAAAGCAGCATTAAAATTTGAAATCCAGTAAGAATGACTCTGCAAAGCAGCATTAAAATTTGAAATACAGTAAGAATGACTCTGCACAAAGAAAACATCTGGGATGGGGGATCCCCTCAAGCCGCTGGGTAGCCATGCAAATTGTTACGCCTTGGCATAAAGGGCTCTCTAAAGTGTGCACCAAAAAGATGGCGCCAGATGGGCCGTGGTGAGGTTGCTCCAGAGCTGGGGAGCCACCGTCGAGAAGGCCCTGCCCTTGTGGCCACCCTCCAAACCTCCCTTGGAGGTGACACTCAGAGGAAGGCCTCAGAGGACAAATGTGCTATCTGGGTAGACGGTGGTTCCAACAGATGCTGTGCTCCCAAGCCATGCAAAGCATTAGCCGTCAAGACCTGCAGCCCTTGCCAGGCTTCTCTTGCATGATTCCAGTGTGTCTTCCATTCCTCTTCCAAGGCACTCAGCCTGCTGGCCCATCGATACGTCCTGTGGAAGTGAATGCCATCGTTCAGCTGCGTGCTGAGTGAAGGCATGCTTTCCTCCGTCTGTCCTGAATCAAATGAATCGCGCTATAATGAGCCCAAGAAAGAAGTATGCATTGCACACCCGGACAGCTGCCAATTTAGCTGTTGCTCTCCTGGCCAATATCCTCTCAGATCCTCCAGTGACAGCAGGTGAAAACTCATTATCCCTGTTCAAATGTTTCCCTCAGAAAAGGTCTACAAAGAGATGACAGATGTCTTTGGTTCCTTGCACTACATTTCCTATCAAGATCGGAAGAAACTGCCCTACACCAACGCTGTGATTCACGAGATCCAACGTTTCAGATACATCTTATACACTAGTATTGCCAGATACTCTGTGAAGGACACGGAAGTGCTTGGCATTCACGTTCCAAAGGTAACTGGCACGGCTCCAGCGGGAGACTGGGACGGCTGCACGTGGGTATCCCAAAAGCAATGGGCACCAGATGGTGGTGCTGCGAGTAGCACAGGCAGTCTTTCTAGAGGCCTTGCTATTGAATTCTGAAGAGGACACTGAGGAAGAGGGGATGGGAGGGCAGGAGGACTGGGGGCTGGAAGGAGCCTTCGAAGCTCCATCAGGGTCATTGCTTGTGGTTTCCCAGGTTGACTGTGAAAGCAGATGTGCTTTGAGGAGATGGAAGTGGACCTGGGAAAGGAGGAAAGCCTTTGTCTTGCCTGGTCCCTGACCCCATGGGCTACCCAGTCAGACAGCTTGGGCAGGTCTTGCCGGCCAGCCCTCCACCAGTGGGAGCTACCCAGAGGGTGGAGCTGGCAGCTTTAATGGAAGGAGAGGACTGGGGAGAGGTTTCCAGTTTGGGCTCAACTCACACTTTACCTTGCTTGAGAACTTTTAGAGTTGCATTGTCTTGTTAACTGGGAAGCACAGAAAAACTTCTGCATTGTAAAGGATTTCTCTGTGTTGGAGCCTTGGGGAAGAAGGGAAGGGCAGGTGATCGTTTAAGACAGGGGTCCTCAAACCTTTTGAACGGGGGCCAGTTGAAAGGTGCTGGCGATGGGCGTGGGCCGGGGTGGGGGGTGCGTGCACGTGTGGCGATGCAGGGGTGTGTGCTCAGAGATCGTTTTCTCCGAGCGAGTCCAAAACGATCTCCTTGCGTGCACGTGCGTGCACAAGGTGAGTTGAAAACCTCTATGGCGGGCCAGATAAATGGGCACGACAGGCCGGATCCGTCACGCACATAGAAATGCAAAATTGCAAGGGCAAGGTGACTTCTCTCACTGCAAGCAATGGTCCAATGTCATATTGCTTTGGGATGAGAAGCTGAAATGCAAACAAAGACTAAAGGTGTAAAGAATTTTATTAAAAACTATAAAGGTTCTCCTTAACACACGACAGTCTCAGAAACCAGCATTTCCTTCCATATTATATTATCGTGCTTTTCTGTTATGTGCTATCAAGTCAACTCTGATTGATGGCAACCCTATGAGCAGGTGCCCCCAACAGGTCCTGTCATTGTTAAGCCCTGCTCCTCTCTTGTAAACCTGGAGCTGAGACTTCCCTTATGGAACTGAGCCACCTAATATGGGATCCTCCACTTTTTCTGCCTTCGGTTTTCCTTAACATTATTGCCTTCTCCACTGAGTCTTGCCTTCTCATGCCATCCCAAAGTACAACAGCCTCAGTTTTCTCATGTTCACTTCCAGGGAAGGTTCTAGTTTTATTTGATCTAGAACCCAGTTGTATGTTTTCCTGCCTATCCAGGTTATTTGCCAAGCTCTCCCCCAGCATCATGTTTCAAGCGCATCCATTTCTTTCCTGAGCTTTCTTCTCTGTCCAGCTTCCACACTCATACATAGTGATCAGAAATGCAGGCGTGTGGATGATCTTGGCCTTGGTCTCCAGTGAAACATTCTCACACTTGATGCTCTTTTCTAGTTCCTTCGTTTCTGCCCTGCCAAGTCTCAGCCTTCTTCGAATTTCTTTGCTGCAGTCTCCCTAATTCTTCTATAGTCACGACTTTTGTTTTCTTGAGGTTCAGCCGCATTCCTACTTTGCTTCTTTCACCTTCATCAGAAGCCATTTCAATTCACCTTCTGGCAGTAAGATGGTATCTTATCACCAGGGGTGGAACCTCGTGTGACTGCTCTGCAACTGGCGTCTCTCTTCTGGGTCGCACGCAGCGGCCTTCAGTGGAGAAGTTGCCTGTGACGCAGAAGGAGGTTGCTGGTTGTGCAGCCTTCATGCCACAAGCATTCGTGGACTTTCCAAGAGAGGACCAAACATGAGAGGAAGTCCACGAATGCAGGACGGGCAGATTCCGTGGCGCATTGGCGCATTCCGTGGCGCATTAGTGCTACCAATTGTTGATTTTGCTTCTCACCTATCCTCCTCACAATTGTGACTGAGAGCATGTCTGGAAAAGCTTGTGGAACAAGCATCCACACAGCAGGACAAAGACTGCGGCGGGTGGTGTGGAAGAGAGATGCAGCTGGAGAGGTGATCACATGCGGTTGGTGAGATCTGCATGTCCGGCCATCTCCCTGGGCAGATGCTCCTGGGGACTTGCACTTGGGGGGTCTAGATCAACTAAATTCCTGGCAGGCTGATTACCAGGAATTGCTGCAAAGCAGAGTGGAGTCCAGGGAGCCAACTCAGGGAATTCCATAGATCCCCACTCCCAAATGGCTTTCTCATGCATACCTAGTATCTAATCACAGTATAATTTACGCTGGGACAGTGAAGTAATTGAAGGAAATTATTTCTTCCATTCAGGGAACCATAATTCTTCCAGATGTAAGCTCTGCCATGTTTGATCCCGAACAATGGGAGACACCTGAACAGTTTAACCCACATCACTTTTTGGACAAAGATGGGAATTTTATGCCTAAAGATGCATTTCTACCATTTGGAGCAGGTAAACATTGGACGTAATCTAAGATCATGTTTAGATATTGACTCTAGACATACTGAAGCATCATGGGATAGTTTGGCTTGCCAGCTCCGGAGACTTGTAATCTGAGTGTCAAGTCCACTCCACTGTCTCTTCATAGCTGGCAGAGAAAGAACTAAGTCTTCTGCTCTGTGAGGCTGGAAAAGCAGCCTTGAAGAGAGGTTAAAGAGGGTGGTTCAAAGGATGGGAATGGGAGGTGTGGAGAGGAGAGGGGCACATCCTGGAGAGAAGGTCTTCCTTGACCCTGAGATGCCATTATTAGATAGCTAAAAATAGCTGTTTAGCAAAAATGTGGTGTAGGAGGAGCTCTTCCTTCTGCTTTGAATATGATGAATATGAGGCATTGAGCCTGGAACTTCTGCTCATCTCCACTGGATTGCACCCTTCATGGCTTCTTTCAGTGATATTGATAGTTGGAATAGATTACGTGTTGGGAGGGCCATGATTCAATCTTCTCTGAAGGGAAAAATCAGAATGTCCAGTTGAAATTCAGTTTGCTGGTTCAGTCCCAAAAGAGGAACCCATTCTGCAACGGCCATGCAAGGGCAGTGAGGAACCAGAAATAGTTCCGGCATCTTCTCCCTCTTTTCTGTGTCTCCCATTTTCTTTCTTTGGTTGCTTCTGTTATTGCCACCATTGTCAAAATGACTGCAGGACACTTACAGATTTCTGGAACAAAGCCAGCTGTTGCTAAAATGATCTGTGTTGTTTTCCATGGGGTCAGACGTAGTCGCCACCCAAATGAGATGCTCTGACGTGCAGGAAGTTGGGCGTCTTGCTCACATTCTGCTCTCCTTTTGTTTCCTCTGCAGGTGCCCGGGTGTGTTTAGGGGAACAGTTAGCGAAGGTAGAGCTCTTCCTTTTCTTCACCAGCTTGTTGAGGGCATTCACCTTGCAACTGCCAGAAGGAGCAGGAAAACCCAATTTGGAGCCTGCAATTGGCGTGATAGTTCACCCTCATGCTTACCAACTCTGTGCTATTCCCCGATGTAATTCATAATAAAACATAGAAAAATTGCAGTGACTTGTACTCTTATATAAGTGCAAAGATCTCTCTTTGGCCTTGTCCTAGTCAGCAGCCATTCCACCAGGCTGCATAGGAAGGGGAGAGAAACAGAACTGGGCTAGTTCATCCTGACCTGTCTTTTAGAGGCTAGACCTGAAGGCAGGGACTGTGTTGCCATCACTGCTATTTGAAAGCCCCATGGGATGACTCTTTGGTTGAAGAGCAAGGCAGCATTTTATCTCAATAAATGCCTGCACAAATTCCCTTTTTCTGATCTTCTGACCTGACTTGCTTGATACTGACCTTTGCTTTATGTTGGACTAGAGAAATTGGGAGGGTGCACATGACACAGCAAGCTACAGTGGTTCCTTGGCCTAGAGAAATTGTGTTGGAACTTCTTTCTGCAAATGTTTGTACGCTTCCTATTTGCCGGGTCTGGCTGAGCACAAGAGGAAGTCTGGGAATACTAGATCGACAGATTCCACTATTATTATTATTATTATTATTATTATTATTATTATTATTATTATTAGAACATTTCTATGCCGCCCCTTGCCGAAGCCTCGGGGCGGCTTACAACAACTATGCTTCATCCAAACTTGAATACCTGTACCACTTCTTTTACTTGTGCAGTTATAGTGCCATCTAATAAATATTTTATTTTCCATAAAGAGCTGAATTTGCATTACTAGGTAGCAAACTATTGCTTTTAAGTTTGCTGATATAAACACAACATTGACATCTTAGGAATCGGTGGACTAAAATGGACAGGAATGGCTGAATTTAATTCAGATGACCAACAGGTATGCTACTGCAGGCAAGAATCCCTCAGAAGAAATGGAGTAGCCTTCATAGTCAATAAAAGAGTAGGAAAAGCAGTACTGGGATACAACCTCCAAAATGACAGAATGATCTCAGTTTGAATCCAAGGCAAACCATTCAACATCACAGTAGTCCAAGTCTATGCCCCAACCACTGGTGCTGAAGAGGCTGAAGTTGACCGGTTCTATGAAGGCCAACAACACCTTCTAGAATTAACTCCAAAAAATGATGTCCTTATCATCATGGGGGATCAGAATGCTAAAGTAGGAAGGCAAAAGATAACTGGAATAACAGGCAAGTTTGGCCTTGGAGTACAAAATGAAGCAGGGCCCAGGCTGGTAGAGTTTTGTCAAGAGAATACGATGGTCATAGCAAACACTCTCTTCCAACAAGCCAAGAGATGACTCGACACATGGACATCACCAGACGGTCAACACAGAAATCAGATTGACTATGTGCTCTGCAGCCAAAGATGGAGAAGCTCTATACAGTCAGTAAAAACTAGACCAGGAGCTGACTGCGGCTCAGATCATGAGCTTCTGGTTGCAAAATTTAGGCTTAAGTTGAAGAAAGTAGGGAAAAGCACTGGGCCACTCAGGTATGACCTAAATCATATCCCTGATGAATATACAGTAGAGGTGACAAATAGATTTAAGGAATTAGATCTGATAGACAGAGTGCCTGAAGAACTATGGACGGAGGTTTGCAACATTGTACAAGAGGTAGCAACTAAAACCATCCCAAAGAAAAAGAAATGCAAGAAAGCAAAATGGCTGTCTGAGGAAGCTTTACAAATAGCTGAGGAAAGAAGGGAAGCAAAAGTCAAGGGAGAAAGAGAAAGATACACCCAATTGAATGCAGAATTCCAGAGAATAGCTAGAAGAGATAAGAATGCCTTCTTAAATGAACAATGCAAAGAAATAGAAGAAAACAATAGAATAGGGAGGACCAGAGATCTCTTCAAGAAAACTGGAGATATGAAGGGAACATTTCATGCAACGATGGACATGATAAAGGACCAAAATGGCAGGGACCTAACAGAGGCAGAAGAGATTAAGAAGAGGTGGCAAGATAACACAGAAGAACTATACAAGAAAGAGGTTAACGTCCCTGATAACCACGATGGGGTGGTCACTGACCTCGAAGCAGATGTCCTGGAATGTGAAGTCAAATGGGCCTTAGGAAGTCTGAGCAACAACAAAGCTAGTGGAGGTGAGCTATTCAAAATCTTAAAAGACAATGCAGTAAAAGTGCTACACTCAATATGTCAGCAAATTAGGAAAACTCAACAGTGGCCACAGGATTGGAAAAGGTCAGTTTACATTCCGATCCCAAAGAAGGGCAATGCCAAAGAATGTTCAAACTACTGCACCATTGCGCTCATTTCACATGCTAGCAAAGTGATGCTCAAAATCCTACAAGCTAGGCTCCAGCAGTATGTGGACTGAGAACTACCAGAAGTACAGGCAGGATTTCGAAGAGGCAGAGGAACTAGAGATCAAATTGCCAACATACGCTGGATCATGGAGAAAGCTAGGGAGTTCCAGAAAAACATCTACTTCTGCTTCATTGACTATGCCAAAGCCTTTGATTGTGTGGATCACAACAAATTGTGGCAAGTTCTTAAAGAGATGGGAGTACCAGACCATCTTATTTGTCTCTTGAGAAACCTATATGTGGGTCAAGATGCAACAGTGAGAACTGGACACGGAACCACTGATTGGTTCAAAACTGAGAAAGGAGTTCGGCAAGGCTGTATACTGTCGCCCTGCCTATTTAACTGATATGCAGAGCACATCATGCGCTCCCCAGAGAGGTCTGCCTGGCGCCATCGTTATTTGTTTTTCGGCGCCAGGCTAAGACCTTTTTATTTAAAACTTATTTTAATTGTTTAATTGTTAATTTATTGGTATTTATAGGATTTTAAATCTTTTAAGCCGAGATGCACCGGGTTTTAATATTTTTGTTGTATAATTGTTATATTTGTATATTTTGTTTTTGTTGTGAGCCACCCCGGGGCTGTGTTGTGATGGGGGTGGCATAAAAATGTTTTAAATAAATAAATAAATAAATCATGAGAAAGGTGGGGCTAGATGAATCACCAGCTGGAATTAAGATTTCTGGGAGAAATATCAACAACCTCAGATATGCAGATGATACCACTCTAATGGCAGAAAGTGGAGACAAACTAAAGAGCCTCTTGATGCGGGTGGAGGAGGAGAGTGCAAACATTGGCTTGAAACTTAATATTAAGTAAACTAAGATCATGGCATTCAGTCCTCTCACTTCCTGGCAAATAGATGGGGAAGAAATGAAGGTAGCGACAGATTTTATTTTCCTGGGCTCCAAGATAACTGCAGACAGGGACTGCAGCCAAGGAATTAAAAGACGCTTGCTCCTGGGGAGGAAAGCTATGGCAAACCTAGACAGCATAGTAAAAAGCAGAGACATCGCCCTGCCAACAAAAGTGCGTATAGTCAAGGCGATGGTTTTCCCAGTTGCAATGTATGGCTGTGAAAGCTGGACCATAAGGAAGGCTGAGCGCAAAAGGATCGAGGCCTTTGAATTGTGGTGCTGGAGGAGACTCCTGCGAGTCCCTTGGACCGCAAGGCGATCAAACCAGTCAGTCTTCAAGGAGATCAACCCTGACTGCTTTTTAGAAGGCCAGATCCTGAAGCTGAAACTCAAAAACTTTGGCCACCTAATGAGAAGGAAGAACTCCCTGGAGAAGAGCCTGATGCTGGGAACAATAGATGGCAAAAGAAGAAGGGGACGGCAGAGGATGAGGTGGCTGGATGGAGTCACAGAAGCAGTTGGTGTGAGCTTGGCTGGACTCCAGGGGAAGGTGGAGGACAGGAAGGCCTGGAAGAATGTTGTCCATGGAGTCACGGTGGGTCGGACGCGACTTCGCAACTAACAGCAATAACAATATAAACACACCTACTCCTGCAATAAGAACGCCTGTTGGCATTGCATCATAATTTCCAGCTGCTTTCAGCTGTTCCACACCACCTTCCTGCTGATCATTTTTCTTGAATGCTAAGTATCGTATCTTGATATGCATGACAAAGCAGTGAGTCTCACTGAGTCATGTGGGACAGCAGGGAGTTCTGCCACTCCGGCTTGGTGGCTCTCTAGCCACTCTCAGCAACACACAATATAACCACCCAGATGGATTCATATGACAGCAAGTCCATGCAGGTATCAACAACCCTAAAAGCAGCCATGCGTTCTCAGGGTTACTCGCTCCTGAGAAGAAGCCACTCTGCAGAAACAGCTCTGGGTTCGCACAACACTCCAACCCACCATGTTCGATAATCCCTTTCACCTTTTTCGGATGCGATCACTGGATTCTATGATTTTCTGGAATGTTACAATTTCAAGTGAAAATTACTGGCCAACAGTCAAAGTGCATGTAAAATTAGAGATCTGTACCGTGATGGGCAGGAATGGATGAAAAGCTGTGCTGCAAGTGAAGCTACTTAGAGCCAGATTCCTTTCCTTGTGTGTAAATGCTGGAAGTGGGAACTCATGATGAAGTTAGGAGGACTGTCCCTATAAAAATTCCCTGATTAGCCTGAGCAAAACCCCAGCTTTGAAAGGGGTTGGGCAGCATGGAAATTCATCATGGGTACCCAAGAACAAGCCTTAGGCTGTTGGGGGCTTTGCTCCCTTCAGACAAGGCATCTTGCAGGAAGTGGGCGGGAATGCACTGCCTTGATCATCTATTGTGGTTTCTCACCCATGACGGGTTGTTGTGTTGTGTGTCTCAGCATTGACTATCTTGCCTCTGCTGGCCCTGCTAAGAGTCCAGCTTAGAGAGACTCTGTGAGCCTTGCTCTTGATCGGAGGAAATGGATGCATTCAGAACATGGTGCTGGAGGAGAGCTTGCAAATACCTTGGTTGGACAAAGACGATCAAGTGACCCTTCATCAAGTCAAGCCAGAACGTTCCCTTGGAAGCAAACATGATGAAACAGAGACTGTCAAACTTAGGACACATCACAGGAAAGTTAAAATGCTAGGGAAAGTTGAAGGCTAAAGAAGACCAAAGGTGAGACGGACGAATTCCATAATGGAAGCCACAGCCTTGAGTTTATGAGAGCTGAGCAGAACTGGATGTTTTCGAATGCACTCGGCCGTAGGGCCACCATAGGCCAGAGGTGAGTGGA